AATAGCTTTCAACATGCCATTGACAGCCTGGTTGGAGAGAGCACTTGAAATAGTGCTAGACAGCTGAAAGTACCCGTAATTGTCTACGGGAGTGAGAACCACACTGCTCAAGGGCCTTATTTTCATGTGCTTAAAGAGACAATATCCTGGTTTCAACAAATGCTTCTAGTGCTTTCCCGGGCAGGATTATTTACTTTTCCCCTCCGTCCCCCTCTTTTTGATTGGGGATGCTTGGGGGGAGGGAAGGGAGAGCGAGCAGCCCAAATCCTTGATTACTGAAGAGCAAATTTCTGTGAAATGAGCCCGGTGTGCTGTGTGCGAAGCCGGCAAGGAGAGGGTTGCTTTGCTGATGCCAGTGGACCTTGGAGGCTGCACGGGAGTCGGCGGGATGGTTTCCTAAGACAGACTCTTCCCGTGGTCATCTCGGGTGGACTCGGGATCCGCGTCGGTGCCGCACTCCACCGCGGCCGCCCCCCGGGTCCTGGGCTTGGCGATGCGGACTGGCTGCAGCGTGTGGGACCGGTCACGGCAGAGCCGAGTTGATGCCCGGTTTGGGCTGGACCTACATCAGCATCTCCGCACGGACGTGGATCCGGCCGGTGGCTCCCGTCGGTACCTCATCGACACCACTCGAGACTGAGCGCGCCTCTTGGTCGGGGCAGAGGGACCCCCCGGGAGTGAACAGTCCCCGGCAGACGGGCGCAAAGCAGGGTTGTGCCTGCCTGGAAAGTTTGCCAGGAGCTTGGGACGGTGCAGCTTGGATGCTTGCTTTGCCGTGCTCGAGCCTCGAAGTTTTGGAGGCCACGATTGCCTTTGCCACGTGGCATGACGGAGCTGGGAAGCGTGTTGGAGTCACGGGGGACTTTGGGAGCGGATGTGTAAGGCTCTTTTGCGGACACGTGCCCGTGAGACGCCGCGGAAGGGGGACGCCGGGATTGTCCGTGGAGTGCCCGGGCAGGCTTTTACGATGGTGCAAGAGGCTGAATTTCGGAAACGAATGCATCTTTACCTTGTCATCCGTGCTCTGTGCATTGAGAGCCTAAGAGGCAGCTGCCGCCGGGCACCATCGCTGCTGTCCAGAGCCGGCCCCATATCCCGCAGCTCCCGCCGGCCCCGCGGGCTGCTCTGGACGTGCCCCCGCCCCGAAGGGCTGCAGGCTCCTTCCAGCCACCTGAAGAGCAGGGGCGAGTAATGGCTTTCCGTGCAACGCCCAGGATTTATAACTGGTGCCTTGGTGAGGAGCAGAGGGTTTCAGACCTGCCCTTGCTGCAAAGCCGTGCGGATCGGGCTGTTGGATCGGCTGCCCCGTGTGAGCGCCCGCCTACACGGCTCCCTTGCACCCGGGTCAGATGGTCTGCGAGGCTCTTGCCGGTGACTTCACTTCTGGGTTGTTTCCTCCCCATCCTTCTCCTCCGAGGGGAACCCGGCTGTCCCAGAGCCGCCGTCCGTGGGGGACTTGCAGGACAAGGGGCTGGCGTGGGGGTCGCCCCGAGTGCAGCAGTTCGGGGCCTGCTCTCCTCCCTCCGGGGAGCCTTCAAGGGCTAAACTGCAGATCTAAAACCTGCTCCCTAGCAGAGAGAAGAGGAGACGGAGCATGTGCTTGCAGATGTGGCACAGCCCAGGCCGGGCTGCGGTGGCCACGGGGACCCTCAAAAGCACCGGACCCTCCTTCCTGGGTGGGCGCAGCATTTGGGGGGGTGGGTGAGCTTGGCCGTGCTGCCAGGGGCCTGCAGCTCTTTGCGCAAGAGGCAGCTGCCGCTGGGCATTGCCAGGCTGGTGTTGCAGGACGCGAGACCGGGCAAGACCCAGTCCATTGCAGGTCTTGCGTGCTTATGGCACGATGGCAAAGCTCATGCATTGCCCTCCTTGACCCGCGGCCTTTCCGCCTGGCACGAAGTGGCGAAGCCGAGTGGGTCGGCCAGCGGGAAGGACCTGCCCTGGTGCGGGGAGGGCGGCGGGGATACCGCTTTTACAGCTTGTTGCGGTCAAGCAACGGTGCGATTTGCATAATGCTTGGAGGGGATTAGGTGGCTGGGGTTGCTGTGGCAACCGTGTGGGATGAATCGAGCTTTTCCTTGGCAGGCCTTGCCCGGTGGCACTCGGGGCAGAGCCCTGCCGCTTTGGAGGGGACCTCCTGCAAGGCATGAGACCGTCCCCCCCCACACCATTTCACATCCCGGCTCCCCTCCGCCTGGCCCCAGGTTGGTTGGATGTGCCGGGGGGACCCCGGGATTAAAGTGAGCAAATAGTTGGAGGTGTCCAGATCAGACGGCCGCGGGAAAAAGTGCTCCGCACCCCCCATGGGGGTTTCTTTCTTTCCCAAAAGCAGGAGGAAAGTGGCTGTTTGCTGCCAGCCCCTGCGGTCGGTCCCTGTCTAGAAGTTTGGGCAAAACATGGCTTTTTCAAGAGGGTTGCGGGGAACTTCTCCCAGCGAAAGAGCGCAGGCATCGTTTCTCCAACATGGATGCAGCCTGCTCGAGCTTGGCGACTGCACGACGGGTCTGAAACTCTGCATGGGGCTGACCCCAGAAATATGCCGGGGGCTTTTGCCGCTCGCTCGCGGGGGCCGTTCCGGCTGCAACGAGCCGTTGTTTCCGCGTCACGTGAGGACCCGGCGAGCCAGGCGCGGCGGGGGGGGAAGCCAGCGGAGAAGTAATCGCACGGAAAAGAGCAATACGTTTAGCGGCGGTCGCATAAAGAATTCAATAGGCTTCATTTGGAGGCATGCATTTTTAATGGCGTTGTAGTTATATATAATTTGATCAATATGTCAATGCTAAAAGGGCCTCTAAAGAGGCTTACCTATCACGGAGCCGTCGGGGAGGTCAGCGGTGCCCATGCCACGTGGTCAGTACCCGCGGGGCTGCGGAGAAACGCCTGCCTCGTCCGCGCCGGGTTCCCATGCAAGGCGGCCGTCGGGCGTTCCTGGGCTTGCTTTGTTGTGCGCGTCGCTGGAAAATGCATGGGGCTGTATTTTTGTGGCATCGCACTACCCGCCGAGTCTGGGCTAGAGGCAATGGAGAGCCCGAATTTAGCAGCTTTAGTTGCTTATATTTCAGTGGCTTCCTTGCTCCCGGAGCGCCCTCGTTCTTCCTGTCCCCCCCACGAGCCTTCAGAGTTTGCAAAGTGACTCGGTTTCCCTGGGCGGCTCGCCGCTCAGGGGTGCTGGGCCCGGCCTCGTGTTTGCAGGTGGGAAAATGAAGCAACTTTTTTGAGGCTGCCAACTTTAAAATAATTGGGCAGTGACGTCCTCAGACTTTGGGTGGTGGGAGCATCTCGTGCAACCGGAGCAGCGGGTGGGGGTCTTTTCGCAGCGTCACTAACGGCTTGGGTACGTTTAAATATGTGAGAAGCAAGGGGGCTTTGGGAGCGATACCTGTCTCTTATTGACAGGTTATTGAATGCCTTTCCTCGGCGACATGGAGGCGGCAGGTGCCCGAAAGCTCGTCTAGTCTCTCCTGGCTACGGAGATCGATGGCAGCATTAGAAATACAAAATAGCGAGGCTAAAAAATAAATGCACGAGTGGCTTGTGTGCGTTTGCAAAGGCCGAAACGATCTGCAATTGCAGCTGTCGGGACCGTCTTGAGGGCAGTGCCCAAGTCGTCTCGTCCTCCTCTTCGCTTTCCAGAGAGGCGTGCAGGGAGATGGCAGAGGTTTCCAGAGCCCGAGTCTGCCGCCGCGATCTTTGCTAGTCCATTCATCGGCCGCTGGTCCGGTATTTCAGCCTGAAGACTTGGTCCTCTTCATGGCGCATATAAGAACTGTATATTAAGAATATATAAGAGGGGCGTGTTATTGGCCGTGTCTCGCAATACGAGGCGTGAGGGTCTCAACACATGAGCAGGTTTAAAACGAATGGGATGAAGTTCGTGTTCACCTGGAGTGGGACTCGTTGCCGTCAGATGAGCGTGTAGCCAGGTGCAAATGGGGACCGGACACGACCCTGGAGGACGAGGGTGTGAGGGGCACGGCCTCTGCATCAGACCGTCCATGCTGGAGGCTGCAAGGGAGGGAGAAAGGGGGGGCAAAACTCTCCCTTTCCACACCCACGCTGTGCCACAGGAGGCTGGGCCAGACGGACCTAGGTCTGACCCTGTCCGCGGCAGCTCTCACGTCCAGACGTGTTGCAGAGGCAGCTCCGTGCGCACGAGCACGTGATCCGCAACGCCACGAGCGCAGATGTCGGAGCTGCTCGGCCTGCAGATCGGGGCCTCTCGCCGGTAGCGCGCAGGGCTGCGGGGGGGGTTTGGGGTCGCCTTCAAAGAAGACCCGCAGAGAAACGCGACATTCAGAGGAATCCCCTGAACGAGCTCAGTCCTGCTCCGACTCCTCCAAAGGACTCGTGAACTCTCGGACCGCCAAGCCGATGGTCTTCAGCGCTCCCCTTCGTGTGAAGGAATAGCTGCAAAGGAAGACGAGCGCCAAATCGGGGCACGGCTGAACCGAGAGCCAGCCGGGCAATTAGGGCCTGGTGGCTTGGATCAATGAGCAAGGCTCCCAACTCCCTGTGGCACCCAGGCTTCGTGGCTCGCCTGTAAACAGCACCAAGCTTGCGTTGGTCAAATTATCGCAGGCTCGTTGATTTGAGAGGGGGCGGATGAGTTCCCGGTGCCTCGGGCTGGGAGCCAGCGCCGCTCGGGGCTTTCTTTTTTTTAACCCGGACCCCAGCTCGTTGGAGTCAAAGCACTCGGGCTTTTCGGAGGGTTTCCCCCGTCTTCATCACAGCTATAAAATGTGCAGACTAGTCTTATTTGCACCACTGAGTTGCTGGGATGGGAAGACTTTGTGCTCAGGCCTGTTTAGAAAACAAATGCGTGTTCTCTTTCCATGGGCTCCTTGTGTCCCGGGGGGGCTGCGGGTTGGGAGTGAGGGGCGCCGGTTGCACGGCAGGGCAGCATCGCAAACGATTTCTCCTTGCCCGGTGCTACCCCGCGGCCCTCGGGCGCTCGTTGCTTGTCTGCACTTGCCGCTCACTGCTCTTGTCTTGTCCTCTTGCAGACGGAAATCGCGAAAAGGCTGAACACGATCCTGGCTCAGATCATGCCGTTCCTGTCGCAAGAGGTGAGAGCGCCTGCGGGCGAGGGGAGGGGAGGGGGTTTTACCCGTCTGCATGCGTGGCCTGCGGGTGCAGAGGGCAGCGCCCTGGGGAGGCGGCGCGGGCGGCGCTGGCGTATGCCAGCTGGATGGTGCATGGCTGAGACCGGGGTCCGATGCAGCCTGGCGGGACGAGTGGAAACGGTCTCGGGCTGCGGGAGTCATTGGCGTGTTGCACGGCGGGGCGTCTCGGGCAGGTATTGCAGCGCCCGGGGTGCCACGAGATCCTTCTAAGGGTGCCACGGGCAGGTGGGCAAACCCACCCCAGAGGCACAGGATAAACCCAGAGGGTTCAAGAATGAACCCAGAGCATCACGAATGCTGCAGACCCTGAGTTTGTGCAGTGAGAAAATTGCTCTTGGGTCAAAAACCAAGTTGAAGGCTCAGAGGTGGCATTTTCCAAGGGGGATTTCAACCTTTTTGGACTCGAGGACCCCCTTGGAAGACACCGGCTCTTTGTTTTCGCTTGTTTTTGGACTATATGTGAATAATCGAGCTGGTCTTCTGGTGCAAAGGCCTCAGCACGCCCACAGCAGCTTGAAATACTTTTCATAGGGTCTGAAAACGAGGGCCGGAGGGGAGCTCAGGAGGTCACATCTAGTGCAGCCCCCTGCTCCAAGCAGGACCAGCCCCAGCTACATCCTCCCAGCCAGGGCTCTGTCTAGACAGGTCTTGAAAACCTCCAAGGATGGAGGCTGGACGGTCACCTTGCCGGGGTCAGCTGGCTCCCAGTTGTCTTTCCTGCCTGGTGCAGAGGGGCTGGACCCGACGATCCCCCAAGGACCCTTCCAGCCCCTTGCAATCTATGAAAAAGGATGGTGGCTCCTTAGCCTCTCTGGGGAGCCTGTGCCAGTGCTTTATTACCCCCCTTGGGAGAGGTTTTTCCTAATATCCGACCTGCTGCAGCTTGCGCCCATTGCTCCTGTTCTGCCCTCATCGAGACCAGCCCAGCTCCATCCTCTTTGCAAGCCCCCAGCAGGGAGCTGAAGGCCGCTGTTCAATCCCCACCTCGGTCTCCTCTTCTGCAGGCTAAATCAGCCCCATTTCTTCCACCTTTCCTCAAATCCTATGACCCAGCCCCCAAATCCTTTGCACTTGAACACTCTGGAGTCCTATTTGACATCACTGGGTTTATCTTTGGGCTCGTGTGTGCCCACCCGATAGTGCTGGTTGTGCACCCCCTGAAAGGATCCCGAGACACCCCCGGGTGCTGCAGCAGCCAGGCTGGGAACCGCTGGTGGGAATGGACGTGCCAGTTTGGCATGATGGGCATCGCGCGGCCCCGCCAGGCACGGTGGCAGACGTGCGAGGGAGCTGGGCTCGCCCCACTCTGCGCTGGGTCAACCCAGTCCCATGCTATTGATGGCAGAGGGGCCCAGGCCTCGGGTATGTCCAGCCTGGTCCCGCTCCCCTCCCTGCCTGGCCAGGGCTGTCCAGATGCAGCGGGACCTGCCCAGAGCTGCTTTTCACTGTAATGGGGCTTGGTCCTTGTCCCCAGCACCAACAGCAGGTGGCCCAGGCTGTTGAGCGTGCCAAGCAGGTGACGATGACCGAGCTGAATGCTATCATCGGGGTACGTGGACTTCCCAATCTGCCTCTCACCGTGTGTATACCCCTTTTATTCCTATCATTTACCATGGCCAGAGGCAACCCTGCACTTAGGTGGCTTGGAAGAAGAGCAGCTAGCACGAGGCCCGCGGGCTCCAGGCTGCCCCCGGCCGGGCGTGGGTGGAGGCAGGGAGGGCATCGAGGGCCCTGATCCTGCACGCATCGTGCTCAGCCTGGCTGCTGATGGAGAAACCGTTCTTGTCGCTGCCGAAGTTGAGCCACGGGGCGGGGGCAGCACGGGGTGACCCCATATACCTCCCCCCTCAAATATGAGCACTTGGCTCTGCAAACCAGGTAAAAGGGGCACTCGGTTCTGCAAAGGGGCAAGGTGGGGACCCCTAAATGACGATGGAGGGGGGTCTATCTAGTGGGCATGATGACGGGAGCCCTTCTTCCAGCTGCCTGAGAGCAGGGACGTCTCTGTTTGTATTGTTGCCGTGACGTGCTGTGGCCTGGGTGGAGTCGGTGATCCATGCATCGAGTTGCTCGCGCAAACCTGACGGCCCCTTTTAATGGCGCACGCCCAAGTCTTTAAAAGACGAGCGGTTGTCTCGCCGCGACCGAGCGCTGTCGCGTGGCGCGCTGGATGCAAGCTCTTCTTTGGGTGAAGTCCCAGAACAGGCTCGGCGAGGGTACTGTATTTCCTTGTGTACAACACGCCCTGGGGTAAAATACTATCCATGTTTCTGAACGAGGGAGAAACTAAAGATCGCTCCTTGTATCTGGTTGCTGAGCTGCAGCAGCCAGGGCGCTGAGTCTGCTCGCCGTGTCCGCCTCTCTTGTGGCAGAAACGGCTCTTACCGTATTATTTGGCATATCAGGCGCAGTCCAATTTCCAGCAGCTATTTTTGCACAACCGGTGCGTGTTGTACGTGGGGGGAAAATACAGCATTGCTGACTCCGAATCCCAGCGGGACACGGAAGAGCTCAGTAGCGCGCCCCGTCCTGTCCGCAGAGAGAGCAGTGATGAAGCGAGGCCAAGCCGGGCTCCTCCTCGTTTCCTTCCCAAACAGCCTCTGTCACCGTTGGCCGGTGACCTGTTCCCAGCCTGGTGTGAATGCGTGTGCACGTGTGGATGTGCTCTTTGTCGCAGTCATCTGGCGCTTCGGGGGAACGAGCGGAAGTTGTGGGCTGAGCTACGTGCACTGGGGGTGCGGCGCTGCGCCGGCTCCGCGAAAATTGCTGCATGCTTGCATGAAAATGTGGGGGAGCGGAAGGGGGCTGCTTTGAGCTGCTTCTCCATCCTGTCTAGGGGGCACCGGGCAGGGCAGGGTGGGTTTTGATGCCCCCCTGGACGAGTGCTGCGTGTGCGGCCTCTTGGCCGTCATCTTGCAGCCCCTCCGTGCGATGGAGCCCGCGGTGGTTGGGGTCTAGCGCTGGCAGCGATTGGGCGACTGGAAACGTAACGCGAGCGGTGAACCGCGAAATCGGGGAACAAAGGCACGGAGCGCCGTGTGCATAATCCAATTAAAAGCCCTCGGCCTCCGCCACCGGTCTCGCCGGCGTCGGGGAAGCTCTCCCGCCCTGCACGACCCCAGGCATCCCTGCGGTGCAGCGTCCGTGGGTCTGGGCATCTCCAGCCGGCTCGGCCCTTGGCTTGGGGAACACGGCATGGCTGCAAGAGCCAGAACAGCCCACGTGCGCCAAGCCGAGGGGCTGAGCACCCTTCGCTTAGCTTTGTTGCTGGTTCCCGGGCTGAGAGGCCTGGGGTTGAGAGAGAAGCTGCTGAGCCCTGTTGTAGCCGCACTGGCTCCCACTTGGGGCTTCTTGGACTTTTTTTTTGGCCTCTTTAGGTCAAAATGCAGAGCTGTGAATGCTGCCGCTGCTGGCTGGTGGTTTTGCACGAGCTGAGCTGGACCTAGAGGCTTTCCCGGGACGGGGAATTTACCTGTCGCGAGGCAAACCGTTCCCGCTGCCATAGCTGACGGCATGGCTCTGAGGGTGTGGGGAGACCCGCCGCAGCGCGGGGGCAATGCCCAGCCGTGCAGCGGGGCAGGGTGGGGGTCTCACGCGTGCAGTTGGGATCCCGTGGAAATAAGAGCCGAGCACACACAGGACAGCACTAGGAGAGGAGAGCAAGAAGCACGTCAAGTGACCGGGGTGGAAATCGGCCCCGGGATTGTCTCGTGACGCGGGGGGATGATCGGACCTGCAGCCCTGGCTAAAGTCATCCCTGCGAAAACGCCCTTCCTGTTGCTCTGCTGCTCAAACCCCTGGGCGTGAGCCGGTGGATCTGGGCTCGGGGGTGGCTGGAGGTGCAGGGATCGCTGCCTGCTGGCCGGGCCCCGGGGAGCTCGCATCTACCCGGCCCCCGGCTCCCTGCCTGCGAGCTCGGGTGCTCTGCTATGTAGGAATTGCAGGAGGACGGCAAAAGGGAAGGAGCTGGGGCTGTTGCACAGCTGTGCTCTCCCCCTAGCCAGCGTTGTCATCCCCCCCCCGCTCCCTACCATCTCCCCCGGGCCCCAGGGGCTGCTGGAAGGTGCAGGGCATCCTGCCATCTCCGCTGGGTGCTCACGTCCCCCTTCACCCTGGTCCTAGGAGGGGCTCTGCGTGCAGCCGTGGGGCGGGATGGCATCCCTCTGCCCCCGTGCACCCTGCCTGCGCCCACACCCAGCAGCGCGGAGCTGTCGGTGCCGTGTCCCAGCCCTCGAGTGTGCTGCGAGCCCGCCCAGAGCTGGAAGCAAGGGCAGGGCCGGACCTGGGGGAGCGCTGGTGGGCTCCACGGGCTGCAGGGGGGGGTCCCTGGAGCTGTGCCTGGGATCAGCTCCAGGGACATCCAAATGACCACATCCAAGATCCAAGGAGACCGCTGGCTATGTGGTTTCCCCCACCCCTTTGCACAGCAGCACCGACACCAGCTGTGCACCGAAATCCCCAGAGCAGGGACTGGGCCGTGCACTGGCTGGCACTCGGCACCAGCTCCTTGCTGCGTGCATGCATCTGAAGCTGGGGGGCGAGGGCCCTGTTTTTTTTTTTCCTCCACCCCCACCCTCCGTTCTTGCCGTGATCTGTTACTCGGCTTTTTCCAGCAAAATGGTCCGTGTCGGGGCCAGCTGGGCCAGGCAGCATCTAAAGCGCCTGGGGAGGGGGCAGGGGGAGCAGGGACGGTGCTCGGATCCAATTACTGGCCTGGCCGGCGCTGCCTGTGGCTTGCGTCCATGCTCGTTACGGGCAAGCTGCGGGCAGTAAACACGTCAGCTCGTTGCGTCTCGCTTGTTAGCAGCCGGGGTTAGCCTGTGCCGCTCCTCTGCGGCGGGGACAGGACGCCCTGATCTGGGGCAGCCCCGTTCCCCCCTCCGCGGCCGGGGGACGTGCCGTGGCAGCGAGCCGGGCTGCATGCCTGAGCCCTTGTGCCTTGCCCCCGCTGCTGATGCACCCGGAGACGGCTGTCTCGGCCTTCCCAGCACGCATGCTAAATCCAGCTCTGCCCACGGATATTGGCAGGGTCAGCCAGCACCCGCATCCCCGAGGCAGGCTGCGGCGTGGCTCTGTCCCTGCTTTAAAGCTTGCCCGGGTGCGAGGAGCTGTAGCAGGGCCACGGTGCCCCTGTTTCCCGCATCCTGGAGCCTGCCCTGCGGCCAGCAAACGGGTCTCCCAGAGGCCTCCCATCCCATACCACCCCCGCCTCCCAGCTGCGTTACCCAGCCGTGCCGCAAAGCCCAGCTCCCTGGGGCATGGGTTGGCATCTTGCTCCCAGGGGGTGAACTGGATCCTGCTCGCTTTTTGGAGCGGAGGGTGGCTCGGCGCTCGAAACAGCAGCGTGAACGCGTGTGCTTGTGTGTGCTTGGTGTTATGACTGTTGGGCACCTCCCCAGCCGTGCGCAGCCAGGCTTGTCCGCCTGGCGTGCCCCGGACCGTGTCTTTCAAAGAGGGAGCCCGGCCGGCTGGGTAGGCACAGGACGGGGCCGCCTGGCTCTGGGTCCCGGGCTTGCCATGGGGGCAGCCTTGCAGCTTGCACTCCCCCCACCCCCCGAGCCCCAGAGTTGCTGCCGGCGCGCGGGACTCGCTAACGCCCGTTCTCCTTTCAGGCCGCGGGGCCCGGTGTGGCGACCCCGCGCCCCTTTTGTTTCCGGCGCGGCACAAGCCCGGCCGTCCCCGCGGCCTGGCGCTCCCCTTCCTGCCGCCCGCCTTACCGCTGGTTGTATTGCAGCAACAGCAGCTCCAGGCACAGCACCTCTCTCACGCCGCTCACGGGCCCCCGGTCCAGCTGCCGCCTCACCCCTCCGGCCTGCAGCCGCCAGGGATCCCCCCCGTCTCCGGGAGCAGCTCGGGGCTGCTCGCGCTGGGTGCGCTCGGCAGCCAGGCACACTTGACCGTCAAAGACGAGAAGAACCATCACGACTTGGATCACAGAGGTGAGACCCGAGCCCCCACCACTCCTCGAGGCTGGTCCCTTGTGCCCTCAGCCGAGCGTTTTGGGGGCATGTGTACCCCCTTCACGATGCAGCCTGATGGGACCCCATGCCCTGACCCTGCCTCAGCCTGCTGCTACGTGGGTCAGGTGCAGGGCTCCTTGGAGCTGCTCTCCGTCCCCGCGGCTAATCCTGGCGGGACTAAACCAGCAAGAGAGGCCGCGCTGTAAAGCCCCTCTGTTGCACATATTATGCAATTCGCTGGTTAATTGCTCAGTTAATGTAGACTGGCTGTACGTGCAAAGTTACTGTCACGCCATAAAAGGGTCCAACCAGCTCTGAAGTTTGAATCATAGAAAACGATGGAGCTGGAAGGGAGCTTGGGAGGTCACATCTAGTGCAACCCCCTGCTCCAAGCAGGACCAGCCCCAACATCACCCCAGCCAGGGCTTTGTCTACCCAGGTCTTTAAAACCTCCAAGGATGGAGACTGT